ACATTGAGGATGTAGGATCCAACAGGACTTGCCACGGACCCGAAATTATATAGTGTGGAGTAGTACTTAAGTCCAAAAATTTCGGAAATTATTGCGAATAGTAAAGGCCATTGTGCCCCGAAACAGAATCCGATGATTACGGAAGCAACATAAAGACCACCAGAGACGTTGAAGGCAATCAGGAGGTGACCGAGGCACGAGAGAAGCATGATGAGAGTGAGCATAAGAGGGCGGGGGAATTTGTACTTGGTTAAGATGATTTCCGAAACAATACCGGCGGAGACACGGCCGAGGTAATTCCAAATGCTCACCAGCGATACAAAGGTGCTGATGCTCTGCGTGGGGTACCCCTGGGAGGCTCCGATCTGTCCCAAGTTGTCTATGGCCGTTAAAGTGCCTCCAATACCACAGATTGTTGCCAAAAAGAGGATTAACATGTCCAAGCTAAATAGTGCCTGCAAAATCACAAACAAAAATTTCGTTGAAATCAATGTCAAGATGGACGTTCTTATTGCCCAATATAATTTTACCATTTACCTACATGTGAGTATATTTATTTGGTTAACATCATGTGTCTATTATATATCAAACTTTATCATAAGATAAAATACTTAGTTGAAATGGCCAACTACATGAATTTTGGGTAAGTGGTATCAAAAGTGAAATGATACACTTACCTTCCAAATCAACACACCACTTTACACACATACAACTCAAAGATTAAAATGCAATCTTTTCTTGCTGAAGGATTATCCCTCGCTTGTTCATGACAAACTTATTGAATGCAATTCTTGATGTTAAAATCTCTCTAGATTCCATTAATTTTCCTTGTCTTGCCTCTTTCTATCTCTTCTTCCATCACCAGTTTTCCCCCATCTCCTCTCACGAGTTCTCCACCATGTAGATCTAGGCAGCGCTCCTCTTCACACAATATTAGTTCTTTAATTTTCAACCTTCTTCCTTCCTCCTTCTTTTCCCCGCTCCTCCTTTCTTTTTCTTCTTCTTTCCCTCTTCTCCTCTCTTCTTCCTTCTCTTCCCACCTCCTTGATTTGTTGAATGAGAACCTAGATCTGGGTTCTTGAACTTGGAGGAGGATGATGATGAAGAAGACAAAAGGAAAAGAAAGAGGAAGAAGATAATGAATTATTATAAATTTTTGTTAGAATTTTTACAATTTTGATAATATAGAGTGTTGTTTGATTGCTAAGAAAATTGATAGAAAGAAAATTTCCTTCCTAAAATATGTTTGGTTTCTAAAAATGTTTAGGATGACAAGAGAAACTTTCATTATTGTTGAGAAATTTTTATAAATTGGAGAAGAAGATGGACAAAGGAGATAATTCTCAAATTTTTTTAGATTGTTTGATTATGATTAATAATTGCTGCAATCAATACGTTTGAAAACATAGATAAAGGAGCACTTTATGTTTAGCAACTATTTCAAACTGTTTGCGTACAATTCAAAACCTTGAAAAATTAATGTTATAGGTAATGTGCAACGGAAGGTACCGGGTTTAGGGGAGTGCGTCTTTCAGCATCTGCCATCTGGTATCAAAATCATGATTTCATGTAATTAATTAAAAAGCAAAAACAAGGGAATAAGTAAAAAACCTGGAGAATGGTGTAGTCTTCGCCTCTATTGGGTGGCTGAAAAGCAGTTTTCCAGCATGAAATATTTGTTTGATCTCCGGCAACTCTGGCCTCAGTGGAGCTGGATGTTGACCCGGGCTGGCCTAATGAGGCTGTTTCTGGGGTCGGCTTCTCTGCAATTACTGTTACTGGAGAAGGATCATTCAAGACAGCTTGTTTCGCCTTCCAAATATTCAATTCTTCGGCAATCACAACCGCTATTGGCAAAAAGAGCAAAATAAGAACCATGGCGGCGCTGGCGCCGTATTCCCCCTGTGTGAAGGCGAACTTTTTCTCCATGATGATTATTATCATCAGAAACCCCGCCAGTCCGAGGGAGATGTAAAGAAACTTGTAAAACACCTTCAACTCATTAGCCTGACGAGTCACCTTCATGAGCCGAATAGTTCTAACAAAAACCAACGAAATCGCTGCCGGCAACCATCCGATCAGCAAAATCAATTGCTTTGAGTTGTTGTCGTAGATAGCATGGTACAGCTGTGTCATGATCGCGCCGCTAAGGCCGACGTAGCCTTTGAGGATTCCCAAAACGACTCCACGACTTTCAGGGAAATTTTTGACGCACGTCACTAAAGAACCGGTGTTGGCGAACGCCTGAGAATTGGCGCCAATGCAGATGTACAGACACATTTGCCAGACTGCTGGTCGGGAGATTTTTTTGGTCACTGCAAGCCACATCATGAAGTAGCCAAAGAAGTTCAACACGGCACCGACAGAGAGGACAAACCATGGCGGGGTTACCTCAGCCATTAATCCGGCGAGGACACCCACGTTTGTGCCAAGGTCCTTGAAGAAACTGAGGAGATTGAGGGTGGTCTGGTCATATCCTAAAGCGTTCTTGATGACACCGGAGTAAAGGCTGAACACGTAGGTGGCACCGGCCACGGACATGATGAGGAGTGAACCGAAGACCATAAGCCATGGGCCAGTGAGGATTTGGATAGCAAATATCTTCATGCTGGGGATACCCCTGCCAGTTCCGGCAGCCACCATTTTTGTGAAGTTGATGCTAGTTTAATTTGTCTGGTGGGAAGTCTGGATATTGGGAGAAAGGGTGTGACTTGTGATTGTGAGATAAAATAAGCAAGCTAGAGAGAAGAATAATTAAAGAAATGAAGGTTGACTTGTAAAGGATTTAGGAATAAAAAGGGTTTTTTTTTTTTTTTTATAAAGGCGATGATTAATAAGTTACTCATGAACTTCATGAGACGCATGGCCATTGAGTTGTTTGGTGGAGTTTAAGAATAAAAAAAGATTAAAAAATTAAAGATATGTAGAAGAAAACAGTAATGATTTGTATGTTTATAATTTTTTTAATAATTTTTATATGTTATTAAATAGATATATATAATAATATAAATATAGTAAATTAAAAATAATTAATTATTATACAATATGTAAAGAAGTGTAAAAAAGTCATACATACAAAAATGTTGTCCAATCATTTATCTACAAGACAAGCAATCATTTAATTGATATATATTTAATTTAATATTTTTTTATATTTATTCAATTCAATTATTAAAAATATAAGATAAAATATTTAATTTAACTGATTATTGCATATGTTTAACTTTATAAATGTGTTATGTAATATGGAGAGATTTTTATTTAATATATATTATAATTA